AGTCCTGGGCTCAGGTTGATTTCATTGATGCCTACTTTCTCCAAATTTCCTCATGTCAAAATCCTACCCATAATTTTATCCCTGAACCCATCATGCCTATGAAGCTTCTCACATTGCTGTCCCCTTTGTTATAATTGACCGTGTTCTTCTAATGGCTGAGTACCTCCATGTTTCAGTCTTCTTTTCATACAGTTCTTTGAAAGATGGGGTTCCATTTTAAATTCCATTTTCATCACTTATAAAGTTAATTGAAACACTGTGTTAGGAAGAATTCTAAGGGCACACTTAGGTTCCTCTTGGCAAAAGGACACCAAGCCAGATTAGGCATAGAAAAGAGAAAGAGCAAAGTCCTTGTGGGTCAGCTAACTTGGTTGTAGACCATGTTTTTCTAAACCTAGCTTGATGCTGTGTCCTTGAAGACATTTGTCCCTGAAGTTCCCATTGTAACTCATGCTCAGTTTTATCCTTAAACACCACAAATCTTCATTTTAAATTCTCACAATCTAAAAATAACAATTTTTTAATGTTTGAAATAGTGTAAAGTAGAAAAGAAAGATATTTAAAAAAAAAACCTAACTATTATCTTTAAGGACTTTCTTTGTAGGTGATCATAGAAACCAGGAGAAGAAAGGCAGTGGTTTGATGTGTATGTTCTAGTCTATTGTGGAAAATAGAATCTGTAAAAGGCAAAAGCCACAGGCCTGTTTAGAATGGCAGCTTGACATAGTGTGGGGGTGGGGAATTCTTGATTAAGACCAACAGCTACACAGGAATGAGCAAATCACAAATAATCCTGAAAGCAGGTGCACTCATAATTGCCGAGCAGAGGTTATTCCTCACATATGGTGATGGTTCAATATTAGAAAAATTACCAACCAAAAATTTGGTATAAATCTATTACAAAATTCATCAGATAACTTTAAAAGCCCAGGTAAAGTAATAGTAGGAGAAAGAACTTAAGTTTAATGAGACTTATGTTAGTGATCATTTGCTAGAAGTACATGGGGGAGGAAGGAGGATGGAGAGGGAAAACTATATGATTACATTATGATCTCAAAAATTAAAAAAAATTAAATGTATGCAATCCAGAAATGACTACAATTTTATTCTATTCTAAAAGCCTGTTTAGAAAAGAAACAAGATTAAAAATTAAGCAACTGGTGCTAAGGGAAACTCCCAAGAATCCACAAGGAGGACACCAACTAAAACTCCTAGCACTAATAGAGAGGATGCCCAAAGTGTCCTTCTCCTGTAATCAGATTGATGAATATGCCAACTATCATCATAGAGCACTCATCCAGTAACTCATGGAACCAAATGCAGAAATCTACAACCAAGAACCAGACTGAGCTTTAGTAATCCAATTGAAGAGAGTGAGGAAATATGTGAGCAAGGGAGGTCAAGATCATGATGGGGAAATCTACAGATATGGCTGAACCAAGTTCGTGAAAACTTATGAAAACTAGACCTGCATCTGTGGAGACTTTAGGGGACTGAACTAGGCCCCTCATAAGTGAAAGACAATTGTAAAGCTTGAGGGGCCTCTGGCAGTAAGACCACAATACAAAACTGGTACATGAGCTATGATGGGATGCCATGCTCAGTCTTAATGCATGGGAGAGGGGCTGGGCCCTGCCCCAACCTATTGTGACAGACTGTTGACTCCTCATGGGAGCCCTTACCTGTGAGGAAGAGTAAACTGGGAGTGGGCTAGGGGGATGGGAGGAGGGGCAGGAGGAAGAACTGTGGTTGGAATGTAAAATGAAATAAAAAAATAAAAAATTGAAAAAATAAGTAAAACACTACGAAATACGAGTGAAGCAGGCATTGCATCATATGTAGAAGGTATTTTTTTTTGTACACAGAAAACCAAAACCATGACTTGTAAAATGAAAGGAAATAAAATCACAATATATGTGCTCATTAGATTAGAAATAAACTGATCAAAATGAAAATTGAAAAAAAAACATTCCATTTACAATAGAGACAAAAGAAAGAAAGAAAGAAAGAAATAACCCCTGTGAACATTGAAGAATGAAATTAGTTAGAGATAGGATCTATATGAAGAAAATAATACCATGTTATTAAGAATTTAAAGAATGGGAATATATAATACATGAAATTATAAACCTTTCTTATATTGTTGTAGAAATTCAACGCAGGTTAGATCAGAATATCAGACTTTTGTTTCTTATGTAAAAGCTCTAACAACCAGTGTTTTGAATGATTATTGTATGCCAGATGCTATTCTAACATCTTCTATGTATTCAAGCTCGCAGTCTATTGTTTATGAATGTAGAAGAGAGTCAGAGTAAAGGCAAGTCAAGTAACTGCTGCAGATAACAGGCATGGTGAGTTGCTCAACCCCAGCCAGCCTGGCCCTGCTGAACTAGAAACAATAAAAATGCAGCAATATCTAGAAACTTTAGGAAACAAATATGATGGTGGCTACATAGCCTAAAGTTCTACAATTCAAAGTACTTTATGCAAATGCACTGATATAAACACAGAAATAAACCTTAGAGGGGATTCATATGTAGACTCAATTTTACTTGGCAACTTAATGTGTTATAAAGGGAATAAATCTACAAGTACTGGCCATCAACCATGCTCCAGGGGACAGCCCCACACCGAAGAGTAAATGAGCAGGACAAATTGTACTTGTGAGTTATTAAAAAAAAAAAAAGACATGGAAATGGAAAGGGTGGGGAGGTAAGGAGTGGATCTGGGGGTTAGGGGATGAGTAGGGGGTAAATGTGATCAAAATACATTGAATAAAATCCTCAAAGAGCTAATAAAATACATTCAAAAGAAAATGTTTTCACTTCCTATAGTATATTTAAGCCTTGTTTTTAATAATTTAAAGTACTGTATAACAATAAAAATTATAAGAATATTTTAACTATAAAGAGTTACCACAGTATGTTAAAAGTTAAGAAATTAGGAAATGTAGAAGTTACAGAGGATATAAAACAGCTTTAATGGTTCAATAGTTTAATGACCACATTCAACATGTATAAAGATCAAAGACAGAAGACACATCAGCGCTAAATATTTGCAACAAAACAAAGCAGGTATTACCATATGCAGGCTCAGGGAAAGTGGGAGAAGTTGGTCAAAACACAAAAACTTTCAGTTATTAGAGGAATAAGTATAGAGACCCAATATACAAAAAGGGTGACTATGTAGTTTGATAGTAACAATGAATTATATATTTGAAATTTTATTAAATGATCTTACCACAAAACAAAATACATAAAAAGCTAATAAAATGGCATAAAGCTGTATCGACTGACAATTGCAATAATCATTTCAAAAATACATGAATAACAAATTATCCATTGTAAGCCATAAAATAATAGGATTCTCCTTATTAATTTCACATCCATACATCCAGGAGGGGAGGAAGAGATGAAAGGAGGAGGGGGGAAGGGAGCAAAGCAGGGAGGGAGAGAGATAGAGAGAAAGAGAGATGTTAATTTATTGATAAAAAAAGTACCTGTGATACCAGTGATATTTTCTTAAATATATTGTGAATAATAGAAAAATACACTAACATTGTTCAAACTGGAAACTAAAACTTGTCATTTATAAGACTCAGCATGTTTGTGTATATTTAAGCAAGGCTTTGAATACTCTGAAAGGCTACATCCCAAACTGCTAAAAAAGTTATCCTGGAGCGAATCTTAGTTTTCACTGTCATGCTGTGAGAAGAGGGTTTGTATTAGTGTTAGCAGGAATTGAAAGGAAAGGCAGTTGCGGGGAGGCGAAGCAGAGGAGTACCTGAGGTTTGGCAGCTATTCGGCTGTGAGTAGGAGGCAAATGAAGAAGCCAAAGAAGGCTCAAAATTTCCAGTCTGGGGCCTGGGGACTGCAGCTGCCGTTTATGGATATGATGGGGAACAAGATGAATTCTTTTCATTGTTACCAGAGGAGAGGCTATGAGTTCAGGTGTCAATCAAAGTAACAGTGCTTCTTGTTTTAAGTAATAATTGCTCCACGAGGAAAGCTTTCTACATGGATCTTAAAACCTCAAATAAAGTACGGATTTGATTAAAGGGTGACTTTGCAGTATGTGAATTCCATCTCAGAAAAGTTTCCTTGATGAAGCTTTATAATCGCCTTTCCTGTGAATCGTGGTGCTGGGAGCCAGATTGGTCACTACTGTTCTTTCTTACCCATGCAAGCAAGTTTTAAAATTAAAGAACATCCTCTTTTAACCAGAAAAGAAATGAGAATCTTAAATAATCTCAGGCTTGGGAAGAAAGTAATTTCTCCTGCTGTATACAAACTAGCTGAAACAAACAAACAAACAAAAAATAGGAACTTTACATTTTTACCAAATGTTATTGTTTTAAAATATTCCATTAGGCAGCCCTGCCCAAGTCTCTGAAGTCTCTGGATCTGTAAACAGCATGTGCACTTTGAGTCCAAGGGAAGATGCATTGGAATTGAGCCCCATTGAGAATTTGTTTTCTGAAAATACTGTCAAAATGCTGGGAGAATTTATTTCTATATAAGTATGTCATATTTTATGTTGGGTCTGAAATTGAAGTGTATAATCCATCAGTAGGAGATATTTGCATAAATGAATGAGTCAACACAGTCATCACCTGAATAAATCCTTTTAATTTTCTTTCTTAGTTATGTGGAAGTCAGCTTCTTTTGCACATCTTTATTTCCAATCATCATTCACTGTATTTTTTTTTACTTCACACATGATATTTCTATGTTATTTTTTCTTAAGTGAATTGTATAATCATCCATAGGCAATATTTCTTCCTGCTGAAATAGCTGGCTGTAAACAGAGTTAAAATAGGACATTTATGTGACTGTCATGCTTTTATTTTGAGTTTAAGCACTTTCATGAATTTTACGCCTTCAGAGAATTGGTTGTGATGGTTGATTCCATTGGATAATTCTCATAGTTTGCAGTCTCCCATTGGAGAACTTTGACCAAAGGAAATAAACTTAGTATTTTGTATATTTCTTATTTTCCAGAAAATAAATACAGTTGGAACCAGTAATGCAGATATCCCTTTGGCTGATCCCGGAATGTACCAGTTGGACATCACGCTAAGAAGGGGTCAAAGTTTAGCTGCCCGGGATCGAGGAGGTAAAAATTTTAGAACAGTATCACCTAAAAAGCTTTTTCTATATCTTGTGACAGATTTTGTTCCCATTATTTGGATTCAGAGACACTTTACTAAGTGACAACCCCTTTGACATGGGTATACATGTATAGAGGTGAGCATACATTCAAATAAGTGAGGTATACATATGCATGGGTGGTCATACGTTCACAAATATGGTGGAAAAATAAACATTGGTAAAGTATACATTCACATAATGGAGGCATATGTACATAGTTGAGCATACATTTACATAGGTGAGCATAAATTTATAAGGGTGAGATGTGTTTTTACATAAGTGCAGCATACATTTATGTGGGTGAAATGCCATTTATGTAGATGGGCATGCATTAACTTATGTGAGTATACACTTATATAGGTTAGGCATACAATTACATCAGTTATACATATATTAACATGAGTGAGGCAGGCATACATTTACATGCATAGGGCATACATTTACATGGGTGGGGTATACTTTAAACATAGATGAAACATACATTTACATAAGTGGGTCTACATTTATATAAGTGACAAATATATTTGTTTAGGGGATAATACATTGGTGCAGATAAGGCATACTTTTACATAGGCTAGACATATGTTTACATGGGTGAGCATACATGTACATAGATGGGCCATACATTTTTATAGGTGAGCATATGTTTATAATGGAAGCTTTGTCAGAAGTTGGCTTTTGGTAGAAAAGGTCCTTTCTTAACTGGAGTTGTTCAGTTCAATCTGCTGACATTGTGATGTTCAAGGCTAACATCTTCTCAAAACTTGGAAACCTTTAATCAGCAGCTTCAGAAACTTGGTTGGATGTCTGCTTCTTGGTATACAGAAATTTATAGGCAGTCCTAAGGGGAAAGGAAGGCATTACCTTTTAGTTCTCAGATTCCAAATGCATGGGCAATCTCTAATGAATTAGTCTGGGAATTACAAGAGCTTTCTAGACCCAGGATAGAGGCAGAATATGGAAAGAGTCTAGTGGACTGGGGAGCAGCCTGAGGGGATGTTCAACACCTATTCTGTAGAAGTTAGAGATTCAGCAGGTCTGAGAACCCCACACCTTCAGGATGCTAAGTACAGATGTACCTCTCATCAGGAGGAACAATGGTCCCTATGCCTACACCAGCCCATTCTCGAATTTAGACAGATCCTGACCATATGATGCTTTTGCCACTGCACCTCAATTTGTAGGATGTCCAAGAAACAAGATTGGGGGATGCAGGTTATCATTGCTATTCCTTGACTCTAAATGATGAATTATTTAATGTAACATTGAATTTTTATAACTAGAAACTATAAACACTGGTTCAGTTTTAAGTAAAAACTAGTAAATGTCCTAACATCCCTAATGAATGAAGAGTGAGAAAAATGTTAAAGATTTGTAGACAAGGGGAGATTTCCAGAATTAAATGTCTGTTCTAGAGGCTAAAGAGAAATATTTATTTAATCATACTATCTCAGAAGTTGCACTCAGAATAGAGAAACAAAGGCAAATAACTTACAGTTAGCACCATTTCACACAACATTTTAATTATTCAAAGTGAAATCAAATTAAATTATTTTATCTGAAATACAATTAGACCAGGAAATGACAGCAAACTTTTAATCCCAGATCTGTCTGTTCCCAATATTGTTAAACACATATACATACAGCTACTTTGTATAGCATTGCTTATAGTTATGTAATTGTTGAAACAACAGAAGTACCCTCAAATATGTTAATAGTTGAAAAAACTATTGATCGCCCACACAAGAGGATAGCATGTAATTGTGAGAAAAAAGAGAGAGTAAAAAAATGTCTAAAAGGTAATGTGGAAAATTTGACAAGATAAATTGTTAGGTTCATATAACCAAAGTTCAAGAGGGTGTCAGTTGAATGCAATGTTTCTTGTAAGAAACAAGAAGCTATAATAAACTAGGCAGTCTGCTAATTTGTGTAAAAAGAATATAGGAAGAAAAAGTTAGATGCTGATGAGATTGGTAACATTCTGACTATAGGTGAGAGAAGGTGGCAAAAACAGGGATAAGTGTTCCCAGAAAGATACTGCCCAGAAAGACCCAAATACCTTTGTTCTCTGTGCCTCTCATCACATATTCACAGGAGAATGGAAGGGGAAAAATCCCACTGTCAGCATCATAGTCAACATCCCCATGATGTCTGGACTCTGTTTTTGTAGGATCCTTCTTATGCAGTGGTCACTGAAGGCAGGCTGAACACTCTGAGCTGGTCGTTATTCTCCCTTTTATTTGACTTGTTTGCTAGCACAGATGACTTCTTAGAATTCTTCTCCCTTTTTCTGAGTTTTCTGATGAACTATAGACAGTATTATAATCTTGAGAGTCTTACACACCTAAGTGGAGAGCTAAGTTGTACATTGTATTAGCAGTGTGACTTTTAGTGAGATGTTGCAGGCTTTCTCCTCCAATGATAAGGTCCAGGTTTAGTAAACAGGAATGCAGGCTAATTTCATATAAATAATGTATTATCTTTCATTCGTGCATAAACAACTCTCAAGTAATATTTCAAGCATGCTAATCCTAAAAGTATTGTCTTTCTGAAATTTTGATTGTCAATTTATCTTGCAGTCCCTTCTAGTCAGCTTTGAGAAGACACCATTTTCATTTTAATTAAGTTAGACTTTTCAGGAGATAAACCTTTGGACTGCACCATCCATACTATCATCTATCATATTTTGAATGTGCTGTGTTCTAAGCAGGCTGTTGTACTATGTGTAAATTAAGAGCAATTGGGATAGGTGTGTCAGGTAATAGCATTTCTCTTCTTTCTTTTCCTACAATTTGGGTCATGGAGCATATATTGGTTCCCTAGGAGCCATAATAGATAACCACACTTAAGGCCAGAAAGATGGAAATGCATTAGCTTGGACTTAATGGAGCCAAGAATTTAAAACCTGATACGGCAAGGCAAATTCTCTCTGGGTGTTCCAGGAAACACTTGCAGTTTTCAGCTTGCTGCTTCTGTGACCCCAAGCAGCCCTTGGTTTGCAGGGACATCAGCCTAATCTGTGACTCCATCCTTACATGGTTTTCTTGACTGTGCCATCACCTCCATGTCTTCCTCCCCTTTTTCTTACAGGGACAAAATCAGCAGGGTCTAGCCTTAATTCCAGGATGAGCTTCTCACAAGGCCCTTTGCTTAATTATACCTCCAAGCACCTCACTTCCAAGTGAATAGGGATTAACACATACATGTTATGGGGAAACCCAAGTTAACTTACTATAGCAGTAGTTCTCACACCTGTGGGTCTAGGCCCCCCCCCTTGGGGTCCAATGACCTTTATAGGGATTGCATATCAAAAATGCTGAACAATAGATATTTACCTTGTGATTAATAACTAGCAAAATTATAGTTATGAAGTAACAATGAAAACAATCTTCTGGCTGGGGTCACCACACATGAGGACCTTTATTAAAGTGTCGTAACAACAGGTAGGTTGAAAACCACCATACTACTAGGTATTTCTTTTCATTGTATGCTAGAAATAAATTTAATAAAGATATAGAGTTGATCATTTATTTGTAACATTACTATAAATTCATGCATTTTTGTGGGTCTAGAGTTCTGCATCAGGGTACCTGCAGCTGCTGGAGTCTGCCCTGAGCCTTATGCCTGTGCTAAAGAAAGTTTCCCGGCATACTGAAAGCCATGTTCTCAGTGGAGTAAGAACAAGAGAACGCTGATAGATGGATATGGTTGTGGAAGCTAACCACCTGTCAACCTTCATTTTATCAGTAATTTAGAACGTGCACCAGACCCAACAGTGCCAGATGTAAGGCAAGTTGAAACATGTTTTCCCTAGAAAAGAAATTCAATGAAATATGATTAAAACATCCTGCATTGTAAGTATAAACAAGTCCTTTTTCAAGTTAGGGGGCCAGTCAACATTTTCAACACCAGAATGTATCTCTGAAAGCACTTTGAGAGTTATTTGAGTAGGCAAGGAGTGGGTCTATCCCACTCAGGCATCATGGCAGGACATCAGGCATCATGCAGGATGCCTGGAACTTACCAAGTTTCTTTGACTCTCAAGAGGCCTGGCTACAAGGGCACCACTGTCACAGCACGCACATTCATGCTTGCGTCTCCAGACTCCTGCTTTGTTTTGAAGCTTAGAACTGTCCTCATGTTAGGATGGCTACATCTCACCTGGAGAAGCTGTGTTTTGTAACTACCAACTGGAATAATCACTAAAAGTACCCCATTTCACTATCAAAACAATTAAAATTTCAAAGTAATGAACACTTACTAATACTTTCCTAAAACAGATTTTTTTCATCTCATTAAAATTCATCAGAAAATTAAGCATATGAGTTGGGGGTATAGCTAAATGTAAAGCATCTACCTGCTCTGTAGGCTCAAGACTTTGGAGTTTAAGCAATAATGCTAAAGGGGATAAAGCATTGCATACATTCTGATTTCCCAAGGACTATGCCAACAAGAATGGTTTCCTCTGAGTGCATTCCCTGCATATCCTTAGAAGTTAGCCTTTAATAAGCTGTGCTGATGAAGAAAAAACAGGTCATGTTGTGTTCTGGGCTATGATGATGAATTAAATGTGTTGCTACTCAATTTTCTTTTAAAGTTTCTTAAAGTGGTGAGAACCAGATATAAGTAGCTTATCTGTTGGAGACATGATCGCCTACAAACATGTTGATGTTGTTCCTTTAACAAAGATCCTACTGTTGAGACATTTTTAAGAATACCCTGTCTTTTAAAATATTTTACTCATACATTTTATGCAGTAATCATGGGTAATCAACTCATTTTTACAATGTGTAATAAACAAGTCAAGATAATTTTCACCTCTTTCGGTAATCACCTTCTGTGTTGGGTATTTAATGTTCTTGTTATTTTGAAATGAATCATACGTTGTTTTCACTAGTAATAGGTGTTAGGCTTGTTCCCTCCATTCTGTGTCTGGTCCCTTTTGTTCCTATTCTTTGCCTATCC